GGGCGCAGTGGCTCACGCCTGTAATCCTAGCACTTTGGAAGGCCGAGGCGGGCGGATCATGAGTTCAGGAGATCGAGACCATCCTGGCTAACACGATGAAACCCCGTCTCTACTAAAACTACAAAAAATTAGCCGGATGTGGTGGTGGGCACCTGTAGTCCCACTCAGGAGGCTGAGGCAGGAGAATCGTGTGAACCCGGGAGGCGGAGCTTGCAGTGAGCCAAGATCGTGCCACTGCACTCCAGCCAGGGCGACAGAGCGAGACTCCCATCTCAGGAAAAAAAAAAAAAAAAAAGTCACTAAGCCCAGTACAGGTAAGGAATGTAAACTCTGTGGTGGGGAGGAGTATCAAAGAATTCAGGGGCACCTGTTAAAATTACCACAGTAATTAATATTTGGGGGAATACTTGGACGCTATGCAAATTACAAACCCTGTCAGTGGATGGAGCTAGGGGATCTATGTATGTCTACCAACCCATGTAGGTACGTATCTATAGATGTTTCTGCCTTTATCAGTCTAGACAGGTGAACATAAATGTGACTTTGTACTGGTATCTCTGATACCAATCCAGCACCACAGGATTCATTCTAACATTCACCTCTTGCTTTTAACTGCTTTTTCTGACATAGACCTGGTTCTCATTATCTATATTTACTTATTTGTTCAATCCTAATATAAACATAGTTTCAGAACTGCAAATTTAGCAACTGTGTACAGTTCTTTTTGCCCATAGCCTTACAGTGTCTGGTCAAAACACCATTTTCCAGTTACTTAGGTCAGTCCCTTTCTTACCCACCTCTTTGAAAAGGGTTATGTCATGTATTTTATGATACAACTAGACTCATCACAACCTGCATTCCATATTGTAATCCCCTAAATATCCTAGTTGATTTTATTTTAATGTGCATTCAGGGTCACTCTTTGTAGTGCACAGTCTGGGTTTTGACAAGTGTGAACTCATGGATCTGTCACCACAGTGCCATAGAGAACAGTTTTGTCACCCAAAGTTTACTTGTGTAACCCCTTCATGGTCAACGCGTTTCCTCATCCCAACCATTGGTAACCACTGATCTATTCTCTATTCTTTAGTTTCACCTATTCCAGAATCTTATAAATGGCAGCATATAATATGTAGCCTTTTGGATCTGGCTTCTTCACATAAGAAAGTGCATTTAAAGCTCATCTATGTTGTGTGAATCAGAAGTTCATTTTTCCTTATTGCTGAGTGGTATCCCATTGCATAGATGTATCAGTTTATCCATTCCTCTGTTTTAGGCATCTGGTTTTTTCAAGGTTTTGGTGATTATGAATAAAGCTGCTTTGAATAAATATTCATATACAGGTTTTGTTTTCAGTTTATTTGGTGAAATACCTAGGAGTGTGATTACTGGGTCATAAGGTATGTGTATGTTTAACTCTGTAAAACACTATTTTCCAAAGGGGCTTTATTTTTTGCATTTCCAGCAGCAGGGAATGACTGTTGCTCTGCATCCTCAGCAGCACTTGGTGTTGTCAACTTTTTAATTTAAGCCACTCTAATAGGTGTGTAGTGATTATATCATTGTGGTATTAATTTGCATTACTCTAATGTTTAATAACATGGAGCATCTTTTCATATATTTTTCAGACTATACCATCTGAGATGTACAAAATCTTTTAAACTGGATTTTCTTATTTTGAGAATTACAAGATTTATTCTGGATACAAGTTCCTCATAAAACATGATTTGTAAATATTGTCTCTCAGTCTGTAATTTATCTTCATTATTTTAAGAGTATCTTTTGCAGAGCAAAAGTTTTTAATTTTGATAAAGTCCAATTTAGCTTTTACTTGTATGGGTTGTGCTTTTGATGCTTTATCTGAAAATTCATTTCCAAACACAAGATCATGCAGTACTTCTCCATATTTTCTTCTACAGGTTTTATAGTTTTACATTTTACATTTAGATCTATGATCCATTTTGAGTTAATTTTTGTACAAAGCGTGAGGATGTTAAAGTTTATTTTTTGGTGTGTTTGGATACCCAATTTTTCTAGCCCTATTTGTTGAAAAGATGATCCTTTCTGTGTTGAAATGCCTTTGTACTTCTGTCCAAACACAGTTGACTATTTGTATGGGTCTCTATTGTTCCATTAAACTGTATCTTTCGTTTTGCCCATACCATACTGTTAATTACTATACCTTTCAAATAAGTCTCGAAATCAAGTAATGTGAATCCTCCAACTTTGTTCTTCTTTTCAGAATTGACTATTTTAGTTCCTTCACTTTTCCATATAAATTTTAGAATCAGCTTGTCAATATCTACAAAAAAAGCTTATTCAGATTTTGATTGGGGTTGTATTGAACCTATAGATCAGATTGGAGAGAATTTAACCATATCTTAACAATAGTGAGTCTTCTCATCCACGAACGCAGTACCTTCGTCCCTCAGTATCCATGATGGATTGGCTCCAAGACTCTCTGCAGATACTAAAATCTGCAGATGCTCAAGTTTCTTATATAAAATGGTGTAGTATTTGCATATAATCTATACATATCCTCCCTTATTCAGGCATACCTCATTTTATTGTGCTTCACAGATAATGCATTTTTTACAAATTGAAGGCTTGTGGCAACCCTGTGTCAAGCAAATCTATCTGTGCCCTTTTCTCAGCAGCGTGTGTCTCTCTGTTAGGTTTTGCTAATTCTCACAGTATTTCAAATGTTTTCATTGCTTTATCTGTTATGGTGATCTGTGATCAGTGATCTTTGATGTTACTTTTATAATTGCTTTGGGGTGCCACAAACTGCACCCATATAAGACGGTGAACTTCATTGATAAATGTGTGTTCTGGCCGGGTGCGGTGGCTCATGCCTGTAATCCCAGCACTTTGGGAGGCCGAGGTGGGCGGATCCCTTGAGGGATGAATCAACATGGTGAAACCCCTCTCTACTAAAAATACAAAAATTAACTGGGCGTGGTGGCACGTGCCTGTAGTCCCAGCTACTCAGGAGGCTGAGGCAGGGGAATCACTTGAACCCAGGAGGCAGAGGTTGCAGTGAGCTGAGATTGTGCCACTGCACTGCAGCCTGGTGACAGAGCAAGACTCCGTCTCAAAAAAAAAAAAAAAGTGTGTGTTCTGACAGCTCCTCTCGCTGACTGCCATCTCTCTTTCTCCTCAGGTCTCCCTATTCCCTGAGACAACAATATTGAAATTAGGCCAATTAATAACACTATTGATGGCCTCTGAAGTGCTCAAGTGAAAGGAAGAGTGGCATGTCTCTGGCTTTAAATGAAAAGCTAGAAATGAAAGAGCTTAGTAAGGAAGCCATGTCAAAAGCTGACACAGGCCAAAAGCTAGGCCTCTTGCACCAAATGCTTAGCCAAGTTGTGAATGCAAAAGGAAAAGTTCTTGAAATTAAAAGTGCTACTCCAGTGAACACATAAGAAAGTGAAAATCTTATTGCTGATATGGAGAAAGTTTGAGTTTTCTGGATAGACGATCAAACCAGTCACAATATTCCCTTAAGCCAAAGCCTTATCCAGACCAAAGCCCTAATTGTCTTCATTTTTATAAAGGCTGAGAGGTAAGGAAGCTATAGCAGAAAACTGTGAAGCTAGCAGACATTGGTTAATGAAGAGTGGGAAAGAAGCTATCTCCAAAAAAGTGCAAGCTGAAGAAGCAAGTGCTCATGCAGAAGCTGCAGCAAATCATCCAGATCTAGCCAAGATCACTGATGAAGGTGGCTACACTACACAGATTTCAGTGTAGATGAAACAGCCTTCTTTTGGAAGAGGATGCCATCTAGGACTTTCAGAGCTAGAGAGAAGTCAATGCCTGGCTTCAAAGTTTTAAAGGACAGGCAACTTGTTAGGGGCTAATAAGGCAGCAGGTGACTTCAGGTCGGAGGAAGGAACTGCAGATGTGGTGGAAATAACAAAAGAACTAGAATTAGAAGTGAAGCCTGGCCAGGTGCGGTGGCTCACGCCTGTAATCCTAGCATTGGGAGGTCAAGGTGGGCAGATCACTTGAGGTGAGGAGTTTTGAGACCAGCCTGACCAACATGGTAAAACCCCATCTCTACCAAAAAATATAAAAATTAGCCAGGTGTGGTACGCCTCTATAGTCCCAGCTACTGGGGAGGCTGTCGTGGGAAAATCGCTTGAACCCAGGAAGTAGAGGTTGCAGTGAGCCGAGATCGCACCATTGCACTCCAGCCTGAGTGACAGAGTGAGACCCTGTCTCAAAAAAAAAAAAGCCTAGTGTGACAATTGCTGCAATCTCATTATCTTGAGTGGATGAGAAGTTGCTTCTTATGGATATGAGCAAAGAAAATGATTTCTTGAGATGGAACCTATTCCTGGCGAAGATGCTGTGAATACTGTTGAAATAACCAAGCATTTAGAATATGGCATACGCTCAGGTGATAAAGCAGCAGCAGGGTTTAAGAGAATTTTGGAAGTAGTTCTACTACAGGTAAAATACTATCAAACAGTATTGCACGCTACAGAGAAATCTTTCGTGAAATGAAGAGTCAATCAATACAGCAAACTTAATTGTTAAGAAATTGCCACAGCCACCCCAAACTTCAGCAACCACACCCCTACCCTGATCAGTCTGCAGCCATCAACATTGAGGCAAGACCCTCTACCAGCAAAAGGATGACAACTCGCTGAAGGCTCAGAATCTTTAGCATTTTTTAGTAATAAAGTATTTTAAAATTAAGGTATATACATTAAGTAGACAATGCTATTGCACATTTACTAGACAACAGTATAAACATAACTTTTATGTGTACTGGAAAACCAAAACATTTGTGTAACTCACTCTATTGTGATATTCACTTTAATGCAGTGGTCTGTAACCAAACCTGCAATATCTTTGAGGTATGCCTGTACTTTAAATCATCTCCATTACTTATAATACCTAATACAATGTAAATGCTATGTAAATAGGTGTTATACTCGATTTTTAAATTTTTATTATTTTTACTCTTTTGTTTTTCCTTTTCTTGAATATTTTTTGTTCGGGGTTGAATCCATGGATGCAGAACCCGCAGAGGGCCAACTGTATACCTCTCCATTTCATCTGATGTAGTCTCCTTCCAAGGGTTTTCTAGTTCTCAGCATACAGGCCTCCAAATATTATATTTATACCTAAGTATTCCTTTAATTTTTTTTTGGTGCTATTCACAAATGGTATTTTTAAGTTTAAAATTCCAATTGTTTATTGCTGTTATATAGGAATATAGTTTTCCTTGTGTATATTGACCTTGTTTCCTGCAACCTTTCTATGACTGTCTTGTAGTTCTAGGAGTTCTTTTCGTGCATCCATTGGTACATTCTGTAAGATAGTATTATATGTGAGTAGAGCTAGTTTTAGTTCTTCCTTCCCAGTGTGTATGCTTTTTCTTTTTTGTCTCACTGGACTAGCTACACATCCAGTTACTGTCCCAACATTAAGTGTGATATTAGCTATGGGCTTTTGTATAGATGGCTTTTATTATTTTACTTGTATATTTTAAGTTCACCCTTCTTCCTTATAAACCTTCCAAAAACCCTCATCGTTTCTCACTTGGGCTGTTGTAATAGCTCTTGCCTGTATTAAAATGCTAACTCCCATTTATTTCACTTCTATGTATATTATAAATTTTTATCTGCCTACTATCCATCCTCTAATTAAAAAAAAAAGAAAAAAGTACATGTGTTTATAACAGGTTTTACTTTTTTTCTTAAAATAGATTTCTTACTAAATACCATTTTATTTCAATTCTTCACAGATCTGGTTCTTGATCATCATAATTATCAAGTGTCGGATACAGGGAACAAGTATTGATGTTCACTATCATTTAAACTACTACTGTCCCATAGTCAGTGGAGCTTTTTTTAATGTCCAGAAAGAATACTTTCAATCTTTATGAATAGCCTAGGATTTTGCAGTTGGTTTTGAAGGCTCAAATTGTCCTGCTTCAAATTTTTCTTTGAATTTTAAGTAGTCTCTTCTTTTATCAAAATATTTTATCTGTTGAAAAAAAAAAGGATTTGAAATAAGGGCAAGTTATGCAACTTAGATAAGCAAAAGCACAGATTTAAATGTAACACATTATTCAACATAAATTTAAGTGATTTATATTCTAGAATCATTTTCAATTGAGGCATTTGATGAATACGTCTCTGAGGAGAGTGTAGACCAGTGACTTCTAATCCTTTTTGGGTTTTACACCATGTTGAGAATATGAATAACTCAGGAACCTTCTCAAGAAATGGACCCATGTGCACACAGGTCAGGCTTGTAGGCAAGTTCAGAGTCCACAGAGAGCTCTCAGGTAGGTCAGAAGGCTTCAAATGTGAACACATTGGACCATTTTTTCTTTCTTCTTCTTTTTTTTTTTTTTTTTTTTTTGAGAGAGAGTCTTGCTCTGTCACCCAGGCTGGAGTGCAGTGGCGCAATCTCGCTCACTGCAACCTCCGCCTCCCAAATCTCAGCTCACTGCAACCTCCGCCTCCCAGGTTCAAGCTATTCTCTGGCCTCGGCCTCCAAAGTAGCTGCAATTACAGGCACCTGCTACCATGCCCGGCTAATTTTTTTGTATTTTTAGTAGCGATGGGGTTTTGCCATGTTGGCCAGGCTGGTCTCAAACTCCTGAACTCAAGTGATCCACCTGCCTAGGCCTCCCAAAGTGCTGGGATTTACAGGCATGAGCCACCATGCCGAGCCTGGACCATTTTTCTTACCAACTCTAAATTCATCTTCATTGTCAGACTAGAAAACACTAGTTCTTTTGTTAAAAGCCATTCTTAGGATTTAATTCTTAAAGATTTCAGTGGTGCTTGTAAGTAAAAATTAGTTTGGACTGCAAATGTAAAAATCTGCCCTGCCCTGTATCAATCAAGCTGGGATAACAGACACACAGAAAGTCAGCTGAAAGGAAACATGTCCCCGAGGGTGTACCACAGCCACGGAGTGTGCTAACAGATCTGTTATTTGAGTGACTACTGCTTTCTTATTCATTGAGAAATCTTGTTCTCTAAAATCATCAACTACCAGAAATTTGCTGTTTGAAGTCTTATCTGTAAGAAGGAAACATCCCACTTTTGTCTAGAAGATCTAAGGCACCCTGACACAGAAGCAGCCTCAATCTCCGACTCAGCTTCAGAATGTCAAATAACATTTCTCAACATGAACATGACACTCAATCTTTTAACTTCAAAGAAGAAAACCCTGGTCCATTTTTCAATCCAGAGCTGATGATGACACCTATGCTTTGTACTGAGGTTGTCAAAACACCATTTCATTTAAATTTTACCTAAACTCCATTCTTCCCCTAAACTTCTAACAACTCTTTTTCTTTGTTGGTGAGATGCCCACAGTTCCTCTGGTGTGTGGTCCTCCTGGTTATAAGCATTCACAAATCAGACTACAGATTCATCCCTGGTGGTCTCCGGCTGATTGGGCTAGGATGGATGTTATATAAAGGATACCAAAGGAAGAAGTGGACAATGCCCTTAACATTTTTGTGACAAATTAACAGATGTTTGCATCTCCTGTCACATCTCCAACTGCCTAAGACAACGCCATTTAGAGGTCGTACTGACACTGCAGTCCCATCTTGTCCAGAACTTTGTTCCTCTCCAAATATGTTCCTCCTCTAATACCTATTTCAATGAACACATCACATCCACCTAGACCCTTAGATCTCTTTTCTCCTCTTCACTGCCCCAGCGCAAACCCTCATCATTTCTCACTTGGGTTGTTGTAACAGCTCTTTCACTGGCTTCTCTATTTCCAGGCTCAACCATCCTTAATCCACCTGTCCTAGGCTGCCAGAGTATAATCTTTCTGAAACCCAAATTTGATCAGGTCACTTGCTTGTTTGAAGATCTTTCAAGGTATTCATATTGCCTTTAAGGTTTGTAAGACAAACAAGGCCACTGATGGCTTCATCCCAGGCCACATGTCCATCCTCTCTGAATTTACCAGCAGTCACTGAACTGTTTGTCCTACAGAACTCATTTCCTGTGCATCTTGATTCCATGCCTTCCCATAGTATCACATTCTGCCTGGAAAGCTCTCCTCCCTAGCCCTCACCTTCTCTTTCAAACAGCCTAAGACCCTCAACACATGGTCCTTTCTCTAAAAGGCTAATGAATCAAGAAGGATTCATTGAGAAATACTGTGTACACATAAGCGAGTGGTCTCTAAACCACGGAATAAGACCCAGGACAGTAGTGTGAATGCCAAAATACTGGGATCTCTGAGACATTTCAAAGTTTTATAGGAAAAAAGACAATATGTGAATTTGATATGAAGATCACAGATCTTGGATATCTGGTTGCTCTGTTTGTGGAACTTTGTTAGATGATGCTAGAATGATAGGCCTGATCCCTGCTCCTAATTTAGGAATAGGAGACTTTTTTTTTTTTTTTGAGACAGAGTCTCACTCTGTCACCCAAGCTGGAGTGCAGTGGCGTGATCTCGACTCACTGCAACCTCTGCCTACCGGGTTCCAGTGATTCTCCTGCCTCAGCCTCCCAGGTAGCTGGGACTACAGGCATGCACTACCATGCCGGGCTAATTTTTGCATTTTCAGTAGAGACAGGGTTTTGCCATGTTGGCCAGGCTGGTCTCGAACACCTGACCGCAGGTGATCACCTGCCTTGGGAGTGGTGGCTCACGCCTGTAATCCCAGAAGACTTTCAATAGGACCATTATACAAGTCACACTGATGAGTGCTATAAAATAGACATGTGAGTACGAGAGAGAACTAATTTGTTTTTGTAACAGCTAGCATATCAGTTGTATGGCATATTTATTTTGTAATAAGCATGTATTTTTGGTGTTTTGGGATAGAATTATTCATTCTAAATCCCAATTTGGTGGTACTATTTTTATCTTTATTTCGTGGCTGTAACATCAGCTAAGTAAAAGATCCAAATTTTGAAATCATAGACATTCAAATCCTCTCTCTACTACTTTACTGGTTGGCTGGTCTAAGACATTATTTTACCTTTCTGAGCCTTAGTTCCTATTGTATAAAACAGATCCAACAGTACCTCACAAGACTGAATGAAAATTAAAGGCAATAAAAACAAAGCCTCTCATTCAGAATGCACTCAAAAGATATTTCCATTTTCTTGCCCTCCCGTGTGCCTCCCCACCCTTATGCACACATATCTCTGGAAAAACTTTTCAGCTTTTATTCTATGGCAATTGGGTAGGACTTTGACAAGGTAATACTTGAAAAGAGAGCACAGGTGAACAACGAGCAAAGAACCGATAGTGAAGGGCAGGCTGAGAAATAACTCAGTTATGCACTAAGAAAGAACAGTGTTGCAGAAGAACATGGGTGTAAATGGGAAACGGGCTATCACTGTCAAATGCTGCAGAAGTCAATGGGAATAATTTACTATATTACCTGCTTCCCTTCTTCATTACAGTTGTCTACAACTTCGCAGGTCACCATCTGATACAGTTAGGCTTTGTGTCCCCACCCAAATCTCATCTTGAATTGTAATCCCCATAATCGCCACGTGTCAAGGGAGAGACCAGGTGAAGGTTGAATCACCGGGGTAGTTTCTCCCATGCTGTTCTCGTGAAAGTGAGTGAGTTCTCATAAGATCATGTGGTTTTACAAGTGGCTCTTCCCCCTTTGTTTGGCACTTCTCCTTCCTGCCGCCTTGTGAAGGTGCCTTGCTTCCCCTTCACCTTCCGCCATGATTCTAAGTTTCCTGAGGCCTCCCCAGCTATGCTGAACTGTGAGTCAATTAAACCTCTTTCCTTTATAAATTAACCAGTGTCAGGCAGTTCTTTATAGCAGTATGAAAACGGACTAATACACCATCATTTTCTCCAACAATACTCAGGTCACAACTCGTGGGTAATTTCAATGTCTACATACTGATCTTTTCAATACTATGGCCTCTCAGTTCCTTGACCTCTTCAATGATCTCATCCTCCAACCTACCTTATTCCCAGGATCAAAGCTTATATCTTGTCCTCATAACAAATACAACCCTTCCATAATTCCAATTGTGAGATTCCCATTCTCGAACCCCTACCTCTGAACATTGCCTCTTGGACTTAATGCCAACAGCCCATCAGTCCCACCGCCTTTCCACTGACTGTCATCCCTCTCATGGCCTCATTTCCCTCCTTACTCTTAAACCCAAAGCTCTCCAATGGCTTTCTGTATTACTAAGAGTAAAAGCACCAACCATGGCCGGGCACAGTGGCTCACATCATAATCCCAGCACTTTGGGAGGCTGAGATGGGCAGATCGCTTGAGTCCAGGAGTTCAAGACCAGCCTGGGCAACATGACAAAGATCACACCACTGCACTCCAGCCTGGACAACAGAGTGAGACCTGTCTCAAAAAAAAAAAAAAAAATTAAAAAGTCCCTCCCTGGCCTCCCATCTCTTGGCTTTAACTTTTGCTATTCTTCCTGTCCCTTCAACACATTTTTTTTTGTTTTTTAAAAAACAATAAACAAAAAACAGAGTCTTGCTGTGCTGCCCAGGCTGGAGTGCAGTGGCATGATCTCAGCAACCTCCACCTCCTGGGTTCAAGCAATTCTCTTGCCTCAGCCTCCCAAATAGCTGGGATTACAGGCGCCCACCACCACACCCAGCTAATTTTTGTATTTTTAGTAGAGATTGGGTTTTGCCATGTTAGCCAGGCTGGTCTCAAATCCTGACCCCAGGTGATCTGCCCGCCTCGGTCTTCCAAAGTGCTGGGATTACGGGCATGAGCCTCTGCGGCTGGCCCGTCAGTGCAGGTTTTTGGCTGTTTCATTCTCTCTGCCCGGAATCCTCTTCACCAGGTATCTGCCTATCTGTTCCCTGACTTTTTCCTAACTTTGTGAAAATAGTTTCTATATAAATAAAACCTTTCCTGACCATCCTACTTAAACCTGTACCCTTGTTTGATTTTTCATCCTATCACTTATCACCATATAACATCCTTTTAATTCTACTACTTGTCTCTCTCCCCATACTAGAATGTATGCTACAAGAGGCCTGAACACTTTGTCTATTTTTCCTTGCTATATTTTCCTATGGCACATAGGAGGTGCTCAATATATCTGTGGAATGACTAAATGAACAGGATATGGATCAAAAAACATGACAGTAGAGCTGAAGGAGGGCCATCATCTATATTTGGGAGATTTTTTCTATATCATTTCATTAAAATGGGCAGGCTATGTGTTCTTGAACTTTTCTTTAATAAATACTCTTCTTATAAAACATGTGAATGTGTTACTTTTCTTGTCAGAAGGGGAACACTGAGTCTCCACTCTAGATCCATTAACTATAATACTCCTTCCCTGGATAAGACAAGTACTTGAACTGATGATGAACACAGTCATTCCTCTCCTTCACCCCCTGGCAGCAAGACTAGCTGTGGAGAGCTTGCACTCAGCTCTGCAGTTCTACGAGTGAGTTTTATAGGTACAGACCCCATGTGGGGGTGCTGTGGTGGCTTCATGCTGCCTGCAACTGGACAGGTGGGATTATGGCCACTACTGGGTCTCTGTCCAGATTCCCTCTGCAGACCCATGTACCTACTCCCTGCTGCGCTGGGCAGTGGCTGCTGACACCAGATGGCTGCCCCCTTCTCCAGAGACCTGCCCCTCAGCCAACGCCAATGACTGGCAGGCACAAAAGTCATTAATTACGGTGCAATTCACACTCCAGAGTTTCCAGAAGGATCAGACTGAAGCTGGACAGCAGCTGAGCTCACAGCCCTGACTTATGTAGTCTCCCTCCCGAGAACACTCCAATAATTCAGTCAAGGTTGACATCCAGGGCCCGGGTCCTAAGTTGATGCTGGTGTCTTTCACTGAAGCTGGAAGCATGGGAGGAAGCCTCCTGGGTGCAGGATGGGGAAGAGCTCACTCTTATATATGCAGACGTCAAGGTTGGTCCTCATGCATCTCCAACTGGAAGCTAACGGGTGGCTGGAAAGGCAGTTCTGGAGCTGGAGAAAGGGCCAGGCTGGAGATGCACCTTTGGGCACTGTATGGCCTGAAGGCTCATGCCCCTCCCAAATTCACATGTTGAAGCCTTAACCCCAATGAGATGGCATTTGAAGGTGGGGCCTATAGGAGGTGATTAGGTTTAGATGAGGTCATGAGGATGGGCCCTGCTAACCTGATGGGATTAATGTCCTTATAAGAAGAGGAAGAGCCGGGTGCAGTGGCTGACGCCTGTAATCCCAGCACTTTGCGAGGCCGAGGCAGGTAAAAGGTCAGGAGTTCAAGACCAGCCTGGCCAAGATGGTGAAACCCCACCTCTACTAAAACTACAAAAATTAACTGGGTGTGGTGGCGGACGCCTGTAATCCCAGCTACTCAGGAGGCTGAGGCAGGAGAATTGCTTGAACCTGGGTGGCAGAGGTTGCAGTGAGCTGAGATCACGCCACTGTACTCTAGCCTGGGCGACACAGTGAGACTCTGTCTTAAAAAAAAAAAAAGAGGAAGAGACTGGACCTCTTTCTCTCTCTCTCTGCTGGGTGAGAACACAGCAAGAAGGTGGCTGTCTACAAGCCAAGAGGAGGGCCCTCATTAGAAACTGGTCATGCTGGCATCCTGATCTCAGACCTCAAGCCCAAAACTGTGAGAAATAAATTTCTGTAAGGTATTTGGTTATGACAGCCCGGGCTAACATAGGCATCAACACATAAGCTGGGACTTCAAGCCATGGCTGTAAACAGGATTGCCTTGGACAAGTGAGTAGCAGAGAAAGGAGCTCTAATGAACACGGGCATTTAACACACTCACAGGAAGGCATTCCAAAGAGAGGTGGCTGCTAGACATGAAGAAACTGGGTGAGAGAACTGTAAAGGGACCCAAGGAGACAGGGCTTTTGTATTTAAGTAGACTTGAATTATAACTCAGTTTCTAGAACAACATGAGACTTGTGCAAGCTATTTTCACAGATCCTGTTCCTGCACGGTAGGCACAGGGAGAAGTATGTGGGGTCTGGAATCAGACTACTGAGTTCAAATGCAGGCTCTGTAACTACAAGTGACTTCATGTCAATGTGCCCTTACCTATAAAACTGCTAAGAGAGTTCCATGAAGGATAAAGAAGATAGATGACACATTTCAAGTGTGTAGACTGTAGAGAGGATGTACTCAATTTATGTTAGCAGTGACCATGACGCAGTGACCCGGAGAGAGGTTGGGGCCTCAGGGGATGGCACCCAGTTTGCTTGAGTGGGAGAGATGTACCATCAAGAACCAAACGGCTGGCTGTAAAAACCCTTTCTGACACACACACTGGAAGCTGCCCTGGAAGTGTGGGAGTGGGAGCCATCAGGCTGGAGAAAAAGCAGTGGGTTTCAGGAGGAGAGAGAGGATAAAAGTGGGATCGAAGGGGAACTCCAGCTTAAACCTGGAGTTCCTCTCAATGCATCTGTCTAATGGGAAAACTACAGATGTACATTTTCTGCTGGAATCATTATCTAATTCAATCACAAAGTCCCACATTGATCAGTTTTCGGTTTACATGTCAAGTGATGTATTTTGTCTTCATAACAATCCCATGCGATAGGCTGTATCAAGCTGGTTTTACAGATGAAGAGTTCATCTAAAGCAATGGCTGGCCAGATGTGGTGACTCAACACCTGTTCATCCCAGTGCTTTGGGAGGTCAAGGTGGGAAGATCACTTGGGCCCAGGAGTTTGAGACCAGCCTGGGCAACATACTAAGATCCTGTCTTCACAAAATATTTTTAAAAATTAGCCAGGTGGCCAAGCGCGGTGGCTCATGCCTGTAATCCCAGCACTTTGGGAGGCCAAGGTGGGCAGATCATGAGGTCAGGAGATGGAGACCATGGTGAAATCCCATCTCTACTAAAAATACAAAAAATTAGCCAGGCGTGGTGGCGGGCGCCTGTAGTCCCAGCTACTCAGGAGGCTGAGGCAGGAGAATGGCGTGAACCTGGGAGGTGGAGCTTGCAGTGAGCCGAGATCACGCCACTGCACTCCAGCCTGGGCAACAGAGCGAGACTCCGTCTCAAAAAAAAAAAAAAAAAAAAAATTAGCCAGGCATGGTGGCAGATGCCTACAGTGCCAGCTTCTCAGGAGGCTTAGGCAGGAAGATTGCTTGAGGCCAGGAGGTCAAGGCTGCAGTGAGCTATGATCACACCACTGCACTCAAGCCAGGGTGACAGATTGAGAACCTGTCTCTAAAAATTAAAGAAAGAAAAATAAAGTAATTTCTGTTCACTGTGTTCATCCCCAGCTCAGCCACCAATACAACCCCTCCCTGCATCACAGCCTTCTTGTGGCCTCCTTCAAAGCCTCCTAAAGGTTTGAGGTATGAGAAGGTAAAACCCCTAAAACCACCCCAACTCTAAAATTATCTGTTTTCCAACTACATGGTATATTTTGGAGCAGCATAAGATAGTGAAAAAGCACAGACAAATCCAAGTTCAAATCCCACATCAGCCAGTTAGGACTGCCTTAAAATTACAGTTCTACCATTCACTGAGTAATAACAAGCGAGTCACTTCAATGCTCTGAGCTTCAGCTGCCTCCTCTGGAGATAGAGAATAACAACGTCTTGCTCTGTGGCCCACAATGGAATGCAGTGGTGTGACCCTGGCTCACTGCAACCTCCACCTCCTGGGTCCTGGTTCAAGCAATTCTCCTGCCTCAGACTCCTGAGTAGCTGGGATTAGAGGCACATACCACCACACCCAGCTATTTTTTTTGTCTTTGTATTTTTAGTAGAGATGGGGTTTCACTATGTTGGCCAGGCTGGTCTTGAACTCCTGACCTCGTGATCTGCCCACCTCGGCCTCCCAAAGTGCTGGGATTACAGGCGTGAGCCTCCACGCCCAGCCAACAGCACCTATCTTAACAGGTATTGGTGAAGATGAAAATGTCAAGCACTTAGCACACACGGGCACTTACTAACCTCAGTAATAGTCCCCTTTCCAATCCCTCCTTATACTAAGGGCAGGGAATACAGCGCTTGAATGCCTGTCAGGGAGACCGAATCTACCATACGAACCTTTTTTTTCTTCTACTTACCAAACTCCTTTCTTTGTATTTTGGGTATATGATGACTTAAAGGATTTTGGGTGAGCAACTGGGAATGTTTTATTTCTAATAGTAGCTCTAGGCCAATTAATTTTGCCAACTACTGCCCAGATTAAACACTACCCCTTCAGAAGATCCTGGAAAAGTCCACCCAGGAAATGTACTGGAATTCTTTGGTTATTGTTCATACGTTTGTTGTGTTTTTCAATGCTCTTTAATGTGTCAGTTGACATTCTCCAAAGATCTACCTGATGTACGTGCATCAGATAAGGCTGGATTACCAGGCAAGGTTTTCTCTGTGCCTCAAAGAAACTGTTAATTGACATGCCTCAGAGAGTGCTTCATGTCAGCCTACCACTCACAGCATAAGCTCGATGTATCTTAACAGGGAAGAGAAACACATCTGTGACTTACCCACTGTTGGGGACAACTTGATTCGAAAGAGCTTCTTAACTTCTTGCATTGAGAAGCATCCTCTAAGTTCTCATCTAAACACTTCCAGTACTCATCCCGGGCCCCCCAGCAGACCTGTCTTTCCTTCATAGATGGCGCTGCCATTCCTACTGGGATGAAGCTGTTGGCCAAAATAACATTTGAGATTAACAACGAACTTTGTAATCTGAAGAGAAGGTAAGGAAAGAGGAAAACTGTCAATCTCCTCTTCCTTTAAAACTAAAACAAAAAACAAAAAAACCATGCTTCGGGATTTTGATGATGCAACTGAACCCAATCAGTTCTCGGTGGCAGCATAAGACCACTCGCTCTTGAGGCTTATCTCACACTGTGTGATTTGATCCCTGCTGGGGCGGCAGCGTGGGCTACGAAAGCCGGGCTGAGAACTGTGGCTCTGTCCCAGTCGCTTAGGGCAGTTCATTTATTCTCTCCGAGGCCGTTTCCCACCAGTAAAGCGGAAACAGCAGTGCCTAGTTTACAGGGTTACTGTTCGAACCTAAGCGCTGTAGAAACAGGTGTGCAGGGGCCACAATCACCAAGCAGGCGGCTGGAGTGCCACCCCGTTTTGCGCAAGAGGAACCCGCGGCTCGGGGACAGCAAGGGATCTCCCGGGCCCATACTCCATGCGCGCCTCACCCGGACCCCTCAGCGAGCCGACCTCTCTGGCCGCCCACGTCTGGCTTCCTTCCGATGTCGACGAGAGGAAAGGGTTACGCAGGCCACCAACCGGCGGTGGAGGGCGCGGTGCCGAGTCCTGCCACTGCAGGGTCGCCCCGCTGGCTAGAGCTCTAGAAGAGTAGATCTCCCGAACCGCAGAAAACAATTCACTAGGCGAAATCGCGGACTCTTTTGACCCTTCCGGGCTACCATTTACTTTCCAAAGAGGGGCGGGACTTCCTGTTTCGCTTTTATCTGTAGGACTGACTTCCGGCCTTCAAGGGCAAGAAGGGTATATACGTATATATCGTCGCGCAGTGTGTCCCGGAAGGCTTAATGGGCTAGCCCTGCGGGACAAGGCGAGCCGAGGGGTTTGTGTGGAAGTTTGCACCTGAGAGTGCGAGAACTGGACGGAGTGTTGCAGAGCCGCGATACGTTCTCGTTTTATTTTGTGTTTGATACAGGGTCTCGTTTTTCCGCCCAGTCTTGAGTGCAGTGGTGAGAACACGGTTTACTGCAGCCTCAAAATCCTGGACCCAAAAGATCCTCCCATCTCAGCCTGCCTCCCAGGTAGCTGGGACTACAGGCGCACAACACCATCGCTTCTTGGATTAAAAGAAAAGGATGAAACGGGCCCCAGAAAGAGGCGGTGACGTCCCAGAACCCATGGCGGGGGAGTTGGGAAAATAAATATTTGTATTGTTATCTCCCTTGTGGCTTTTTTTAACCCCCGAAACAGCAAGATATTTTTAAAAGGGATGAAGAGAATTGCTTCAAATGTTTTGAGATGTTGTTATTTTTAATACGTGAGTTAATGTCTTAGAAACAAAATGAACGAGAAAAAATAAAAATTTTAGAAAATATGCGTTAATATCTCAGCAGAATCTTTATTAAAAAGGATGTTTATAGTCAGTCATCTGGCACCCCGTTCTCTTAATAGATTCCATCTGTTCCACCATCTAGTTCTAAAACATTTACATAAGATAAGCAATTTACAATTTTGCACTCAGTGCAGTTCAAGCCATTCCAAATTCAATATATGCAGACTTCAGGGTGGCGATGTGAGGCTAAGTACCACCAAATATGTGTTCTGCAATATAGAAAGTATTTCCCCCATAGTTAATGCACTCTAATAGCGGAGTTACTTTAGCTTTACCAGAGCCACCCCCTTCTTTTACATCATGTCTTTCGACGTCGGTTTACATATAGATGTCTTTTAAATATGACTGATGGGATATAAAAGGAATGAAAAGAAAGAGTCTTAGATGACTTCTGAGTCTAAAAAGGAAATGTGTTTTAAATTTAAAATTTATGTACCTAATGAAAAATACATATGAAACAAAGTGAAGCGACAGAATTACAAAGAAAAAAATGCCTGGTCATACTGGGTAATTTTAACAGGCCTTTCTCACTAATTGTTAAGACTAGCAAGAGAAAAATTAAGAATATAGGAAACGTGAATAACATGATGTACAAACGATGCAATTAATATATACAGAGCAACACGACCAAAATTAGAATGTACAGTTTTTTGAAAGCAGACACAACGCATCACCACAGTCAACCACATACTTAGTTATAAAGCAACTCATCAAATTTTGAAAATTGAAATAATTTTCATTTTTCACTACAGTGCATTTAAGATAGAAATCAATAAAGAACTGTAAAAACAAGTCGAATAACACAGAGACAGAGTCAATGGTATTGAGAAAATACTTTGAACTGAACCATAAAATACAATAGCAACACCTGTGGGAGGAAACTAAAGCAGCACTTAGAGGGGCATTTATAGCCATAATTAAGTATATTAGAAGAGTCTGAAAGGTCTTGAGCTGAAAATCCCTTTTCAAGACGTTAGTAAAAGGACAGCAAAATAAGACAGAAAATAGAAGGACAGAAATAAGAGCAGAAATTAATGAAATGGAAAATAAAAGCAGTGGTGTACCAGAGCCAGCCTGTACTGGCATGGGAGAGCCAATTGTGCACACCTCTTGGCAACTCCATGATCAATAACATCAAATAAGTTGCTTGAAGTCACCTATGATGGGACTGTTTACACTATGGAAATCAACAAACAAGCCAGAATTTTGTCTTATATTTGGAGCTAATTCACTAGCACACCACAGCATAGAATAGGTTGAAAGAAACCAAAAGATGATTTATTTGGAAAAAAACTAATTAAAATTGGCAAACATCTAATAGTTATAAAACTCCTTTTGGATGTCAACAATCTTTATCAAGAATGGAAACTAGAAATACTTTAGACATCAAAAAAGTTAGATAATCTTGTAAACAATTTAGTGCAAATAAGATTTAGATGACTGTACAGATTTCAAGAAAAACAACTGACTCAAAAGTAGAGAAACCATTAAGTAATTTGAGAGTGAAGAACCTTCATACACACAAATCCTAGGTACATGGCTCCACCAGTAAGTTCCTAAAAGCTTTGAAATAATTCCATTCTTACTGAATAAGGCTACCATAACTTTTGTACTAATTGTAAAATCCCCAAACCTCTGAAACACCAAACACTTTGGAACTCATTTGATGAAAAATATGCCTTAAAGTAACATGAGACTCTTTATAGTTGTTATTAATATTATCACTTAGGTGACTGCATATGTTTTTCTGTAGAAATATTAATGTATTTTATTATGGGTACTGTCCCAGTTCTTGTTGAGAATATTATACAGTATATGTTGTATGTTTCAAACTAACCTTCTAATATTTAAAATAGTCTATATTTCAAACATCTGCCTCCAGGGATTTCAGATAAGTTATGAGGACCTATATGAGAAAAAATCTTTGTGACGTAGGTTAAGAGGAATTTTTAGCCATAAAGGAAAAGCTCAGTAATTATCAAATGATGTGGCCAGGCGCGGTGGCTCACGCCTGTAGTCCCAGCACTATGGGAGGCTGAGGCAGGCAGATCATGAGGTCAGGGGTTCGAGACCAGCCTGGCCAACATGGTGAAACCCCGTCTCTAATAAAGATATAAAAAATTAGCCGGACATGGTGGTGTGTGCCTGTAATCCCAGCTACTCAGGAGGCTGATGCAGGAGAATTGCTTGAACTCAGGAGGCATAGGTTGCAGTGAGTCGAGATCATGCCATTGCACTCCAGCCTGGGCGACAGGGCAAGACTCTGTCTAAAAAAAAAAAAAAAAAAAAAAAGATGTATTATATACATAAAAATATTGGGCTACATAAAAGTAATGGACTTTTATTTACCAAACAATACATGAAGTGAGTGAAAAAGAATTAGTACCCAGAATATGCAAATAACACAAATCAATAAGAAATAGACTTGCCCATTTTGAAAATGGGCAAAAAGCTTAAACAGGCACAGCACCAAATGCAAATGACTAACATATGAAAGGACCAACATTCTCATTAGTAACTATAGAAAGAAACATGAGGATAACAATGCAGTACTATTAGACACACACCAGATCAAAAAAAAAATTTTAAGTCTGACAGAAACAAGCTTTAAGGAAGAAGCAATGAATATCCTCATACACTATGGTAGCATAAATTGATACAATCAGGGAAAACAGTGTGGCATTATCTAGTAAGATTGAAGATACACATTCACTGTGACTCAGCAACTCTACAGAATTTCCTGTACATGTGCATTTTTGCTGAAACCATTATAAAACCCAAACTTGCATCAACAATAGAATGGATAAATTATGGTAATCGTACTGTGAAATGCAATAGAGCAACAAAGAGAAACAAACGATTGTCTACAATAACATGGTGAATTGCCATACTGAGACAACCAAGGAATACAGAATGTTTCCACTTACATAAAGTTCAAAAACGGGCAGAACTCTACTATATTGTTTAAAATACAGTCATAAGTAGTAAAACTATAAAGAAAAGCTAAGACATGGTTATCACAAATGTTCCTCTCCAGGGTGAGAAAGGAGACATGATCAGGGAGGGGCACATGGGATGGGGGGCTCCCGTTTTATATACGGACCTGAGTGTTCGCTTTATAATTATTCTTGAAATAAACTGTACATATATGTTTTATTCACTTTTCCATAGGAATGTATATCTCACAATTTCTAAACAGATAAAATGAGTCATTGACCTGAGAAAGGTCATCTTTAATAAATTTGATTTACAGAAAGGTAAAAATAGTGGTCATACATAACATTTGTAGTGTGGTTACTAAATTTTTAATGAATTTAGTATCTTAAGTGCTCTTCGAGGTCAAAAGTTAGTGGTCTCTAGTGCTAAATGCCACTGTGCACCTAAGCAATTCCTACTGGTCTGTGGTAAGCCTAAGGGATAGACAAGGAACATATTACCAGAGAGATGCAGTGAGGTGCAATAACATCCCGCACCTTACCTCTGAAGAAGTCTGTAGTTCACCAACTAAGAAACGCTGGTTTCACTAACAGAGCAAAAACAAACTAGAAGAGAGGAATTTTGAGGTGTTGATAAGAAAAAGAAAATTAACACAGGATAACAATCGCAAAGACCATTTCACCTTATAAAATCTTAAAGATTAAAATGGAAGAATGTGGGTGCCATAAAATGATTTCAAGTGTGCTGTTTTGACACAAAGAGGGTGTAATCACCCAGCCTATGTTTGGAGGAGAGAGGAGGCGAGGAGGAGTCAGTGTGAAGAGGTGGAAGACATGTTGTGCTGGGTTGCCATCCAGAGGAAATTTCGAGTGGGTGCTCTCTAGTCGGAACGAAGTAGATCCCCAAACCACTGGTGGGCAGGGCCAGACAGACCCAGTCGCACTGAAAATGTATGTGTTGTTTTTCTGTTGCTGCCCACAGACTTTTATTTATAATCTGTACTGTTACAAAGCAGTTATCACAGACACCCACTCACGGACACAAACCGGAGAATGATTCCCTTGACTTCAGTGTTGCTACAGCGATCTTCTGAATTTCTTCTAGCTCTCTGTGCTGTCTGCTTGCCTTCCCCAACCCCCTTAACTATAGGTATGCGCCAAGATGCTGTCCCTTCATTTCTTTCTCTCGTCTTCTCTCTCTCTCTCTCTCTCTCTGCATTGTTTTAGCTGGTGAGTCGATTCACTCTGAGTTTCGGTTAGCACTTCTGTCACAAAGACTTGCAAGACTATGTTTTGGTCCTTAAAAGAACCTTTGTGACAGTTTTCTTGTTCCACATCCCTACTGGATAGCTTCACTTATCTTTCCATCCTTCCAAGACGTTCAGAACTGGACTCGGTATTTTCTCTCTAGAAGCGCTG